TATACGCTTTATGCGTACTGTTCTCAAAATTAGGAAACGAGGGGTCTTCTGCCCCTTTTATTAAGATAGGGGTGCAATTTATTGATACCAGTTTATTTGCTAGGGGTAAAATTGTAGTTTTTGGGGATATTTGACCCCTTATTTTTCTTAACGTTGCCTGAGAATTTCAATATTTACGTTTTGTGGAGTCATAGTAAGTAAAGGCTTTCAAATTTTGGGATGGGATGACGTGTAATGAGCACGATAATTCGTTTTGTGTCTAGGTGTTATTTATATATGATATCTGTGTATTTAGATATATAAATATGTTTATTAGCAGTATGTTTCCCACACCCACAGTACAGGCTCTGCTTAGTTTGGGATCAGACGGCTGCCGTGTGTGAAATGTGTGTGGAAAAAAAATTGTATTGAAAACTCTGCAAAAATTAGAATGATAGTATTTAAATAAGAAAGGATTTAAAAGGATAATAAAGACAGCTAGCGTAGTTCCATCAGTTTAAAAGTGACCTAACTCACAACACTCGGATACCACCTATCGGTGGCATGTCGGACTCGAACCGACTAAAACCGCACGCCGTCTTGGGTACTAATAGCCGGGGAACCAGGTATACCCTAGAAAGGAAGTCCCTGGTGCCCCGACATCCAGGTGCCCCGACATTACAGAACTGTCCTGATGTTTAAACAGATCATTTTTGACAGTCAACTATCGACTACCGCATTGCTCTTTGTTGTGGACCAAGTGTAACTATGGCCTTCTTGACACAACTCAACCTAAATAAATTGAATAATTCATGACGTGTCAGTTAAAAAATAAGCTCTTAAATAGGTCTTAGTAACCAGTGTTATCTCCAACGTGCGTCGTTAAGTAGGTTTCATACTTTTGTTTGTGTCTAAACTTAAGCTTATGCCAGTACTACAAAATAAAGGAAGGCCTCATTTAGTCTTATAATAATCCCATCTAGGTCCTACATTTCGTAAATAAATAAAAAAAAGAAAAATAATGCTATGACTACGAGTATACTATAATAAGGCTATGATAAAACGTCGTTAAGAACCTCGTGGTTAACAAGTCATCAAATCAAAACATATTCCAATCTAGTAGATTGGAATATGTTTTCTCTATGAATCTAATCTATCCTTGTGCTTACCAAACGTCTATTTAGTAACTAAACTTTAGTAGTCGTAATAGCAGGTAGTAAAGTCACAGATAAGAAAACAGTTGTAGAAATCTGTTCAGTTATTTTGGCCAGTATACATTTAGTAAATTAAAAAATAAAATATGAACCTTTTAAATACAATTAAATACAGAAACTTATCCAATGAACTTGTACGCAAGCAATTTACCTCGAATTTGAATTCATGTTAATGTATTGACAATGGCGTACAGGCCTTGATGATGGTCGAAATAGAGCAAAACGTTTGGCCGTCGAAGGCAGGCGCTATTCAGACTATTGTGAATTATTAAGTGTCCCACTATCTATGTTCTTGTTCACGGTCCGTGGTATGCCGTCATTATACCTACATATAATACCTAAATATACATATGTATTTAGAGAACAAGTGAATGCTTGATATGTCGTGTGTACCTACAGTTTTGTTCATAGCCAGCTAATTTTACAAGATTTAGGGATTAGTTTATTGGCGGTGTACTCGTCGGAGTACGGAGTTTAAATTAACATTTGTTCAATGATTTAGAAAATACTGAATAGCAATACAACTAGGCAAAATACGTCCTTTATTATGCAGGGTTTTTATAGTGTAATCAATACGAGAGATTTCTTTGTTGTTGTTACCCTATTTTAAACTACCAAATGCTAACAGCTCAACATCTCGCAGATCAATCATTTTTGGAAGAATAAAGCAACATGAGTTTTAAAAGTGATTTATTTGAACAGATATCAAAATTAAACATGAGCCATGTTAATTTATATTATGTGTTCAAATAAATTGCTTTTAAAACTCATGTTAATAAAGTATGACGCTTGTAAAAAAATAGGAAGTATCAGGTGTAGAATAAAAACGTTTAACTTAATCGTCTTTCGTGATTTACCGCGAATGTATAATTTAAAACATTTACGTTGACCTGAAATGTTACATTGAATGGTAACGAAAATCTCCGTAGTGACTTCTTTCGTGAAAAACATTGTGTTGAATAATCTATTGGAATCTAAAATTCACTTGAGAATTTATGACTGTACGATTTGGAATGTAAGGTTTATTGTTTTCCCTAGAGAACTTTGCTAAGATTACTTTACATTTTAGAAATATTCTCTAAAGTATTACTTACTGCTGCAATTTTTATTAAATAAGCAAGGATTAGGGACCTAAATCTAATCATGCTAGTGGAGCTAAAAAAACAAGCGGACAAAAATATTGTTTTACTTTGTGGCGATATTTTTAAGTATCTAAGCACTTTCAAATATGAAATCTCTTATTTTTTTTCTAATAACTTATATATAACACAGATGCATGTGACGTGGGTGTCGTAAAAGCCGACTAACGGATGACAGCACAGCAAAGAGAAGGAAACTTGACACAAACTCTATACCAACCCGTCGGCCAGCGTGGTATAGTAGGCCAAAACCTACTTTTCAAGGAGAGGCATATGCCTCTCCTTGAAAAGACATATGTCTAGCAGTGAACTATTAAAAGCTGTACTGCAATAATGAGATCTTGATGTCAAATTGTCATTGTTAAAACTTCTTTCAGGATTAAAAGACACCGAGTCATCAGCAAGTACTGTTATACTTAAGCTCAAACTTTTAATGAGTTTATACCGCTTTATACTTTATACCTTATTGAATTCAGGTCTAGAACCGACAGATAAAGGTCTTGTCAAACAGCGGGCGGGGCGGGACGGCAACGTGTCGTGAACGAGTTGTAATGCACTAGTTGATATGGAAGTTGTCACACAAAATCGTCGCGCTCGGCGTACAGCGCTAATCTATTAAGTCGTCTATATAAGTGGTCACACCGTAATAATACACTGAACACTGGATCTTGTTACCACAGCACTAGCTAAGAACCTTCATACCAAGAAACAGTTTCTGTAGCCTGCTGTTTGTCCCAACTTTTAAGTCTTTCCATCTTTAACTATGTAGTATTTAAGCGTTTAAATATTTATATATTTAAGATTCAATATCTGTACGAGCTTGAGTGTATATATATATATTTAAAACGGATACAAGAAAATTTGAAAAAGTAGTACCTGTGTTTGCAAGATGTTTAAGAATATTGCGACCTGAGACTTATAACGAAAGAAATAAATATATAGTATCGGATTTTTCCGTAACCATGTGGTGACGGATAACCGTGTGGTGACGGATTAAGAATACAAAGTGTCACCACCCCTATTCATCCCGTGGGTGTCGTATGATTCGACTAAGAAAAACTTGACACAAACCCTATACCAAGCCAACCCTATACCAGCGTGGTATAGTAGGCAAAACCTCCTATCTAAGGAGAGGCTTATGTCCAGCAGTGGGCTATTAAAGGCTGTTGATGATGGTGATAGGATTTTTCACATATTGCCATTTTATTTCGTGTAAAATATGACTTCCTCCCAAATGATTATTCAATTTACGAAATTTTATTCCGACTGTTTCTGCTCTTGTGTCTGTACAGATGCTTTCACGCTCAAATATTGGATACATTAAATCCTGTTCATCTATGCCGTACCTGAGACTTTATTATAAACCACCATATATAGCGGATTAGCTTTAGTTACACTCTGGTAAGAGTGTAACTAAAGCATTGTGGTATGACGTCACATCAGGGTACATAATAAATTTGAGTATTTCTGACAATTCTTTGAACTGAGAAAATCTCCCTGAAAATTCTTTGATTAAAGAATCGATCACAGAAATGAATTCTTCAGTAAATTTTTCTTTGTCTGCTGTCTCGTGAATGTCAAAATATTGGATACATTAAATCCTGTTCATCTGGGCCGTACCTGAGACTTTATTATAAAGCACCATATATAGCGGATTAGCTTTAGTTACACTCTGGTATTACATTATCTATAGGTTTTCATATATGTAACAAATACTTGACTTTTTACTTTCATTACTGAATAAAAATCTTTTCTCTCCTCTCTATCTAGAAATCAATTTTTTTGTCTTTAGAGTTAATATGTTTTCCTGTGTGGGTATCAAGGCTAAACGCTCATTTATTTAAAGTAGAAGGGTTTCAACGTAAAAGTAAACATTTTGAAATATTTAGAATAAACTGTTCTTTTACCACAAACGTAGCTTTATGACATTTTTTGCGGTCATCACAGTGATTGCACAGTTCTCAGGAATTCTGATGGATTTAAAGATAACAGTAGATTGAGCTTCGCCATATTTCTTTTATAAAATTGCAGAGATTATCCAGGAACAGTTATTTTAATCTTATGACCAGTCTTCATGTTCGAATAACTTTTAAGATTTTATAAATATATTAAATAATTAAAATTTAATGGTTATTATAAAGACTCAAAGTTAAGTTAAGACAAGATTCATATAAGTAGAAGCCAACACGAAACTCTTTGCTAAATAAAAACAACAATTTACGTATGTATATAGCGTTAAAATTTATTTCTGTATGTAATTGAGTTTCTTACAAGAAGACGTATGAATATTAAGTGAACCCTCATATACGCGGTGACAGATATCGCATATAGGCCATTTTTTGGATGTTTGACCTAAAAACGAAAGCTCAGTAACTTACGAATGTGTAAGTATACTTTGAGAAAGCAATCCGTAAAATAACACAGTTCCTTAAATGCTTCCAATTATGCTAGTCGCTGGACGTAGTAACTATATAATACAATAAATTGTTAATTTCACCACTAAAATAACAGTCTTTTATTATTTTATCATTTTGTTCAATTTAGCATCAACGCGTAATTGCGTTAAGAACTCGTAATTTGGGATCTTGTAGCTTGCAATTTTCTTTCTAGTTATAACTGTATAATATATAACTATACAACAGTGTTGTGAATTCTACCCACCCTGACAATGAACACTGACATGTATAATTTCACTTTCATCTCATTCCAACACAACGCTCACGACCTGATCAATCTAATTGGCACTTTTCTCTTTTCAGAGATCACCTCCACAAAATTGTTAGGCGTCGTAGTACTGATAGATCCTGTTAGTCCAGAATGGACACGTTTGTATGCAAGTGAAATTATATCAAATGAGAAGGTAGAAGGTTCGTGGAGATCCAAGATGGCGACTGCAGCTCCAGCGGCGTCGTGCATGAGCACGAAACACGGTTGCGTCATGTTCGACTGTCTTGTGCATCTTTGGGAATGGTAAGTCTAAAAACCATTTAAGTGTCTATTATAGAACTAGCTTTTGAATGGGGCTTCCTTCGATGTCGTTTTAGTCAATCTATTTTTTTAGGAATAAGAGGGTATAACCTATCTCCGTGCTAAATATCTTGCAGATCCGTTCAGCTGTTCTGACATGATTGAGTAATTAAAGTCTATCCAATAGTACGATTAGACTAGCAACTTGTAGGACTTAGTATGGGTAGCATAATTATATTCCTACTTTTTTCGTGCAATAGTTAATACTTTGATTTCATATGACTCTATTAGTTCACGCGCCGCATGAGAGTTAAAGCTCCTAGTCAGCATTTTTTTTAAATCTTCAACGATTGTCGTCACATTTCATTATGTAAAATCTTAATAAATTGAATACCTATACCTTCCTCATAAATTATCCTATACATGAATTAATTATTTTTGAACATAGTAAGTGTAAAATAAAAGGACTGAATTTTATTGAGTACAACATAAGTTAATTAGCTTTGTCCGTGTAACCTCAAAGGTGGGCCGTTATAGGTAAGGTAATATGAAAAGATCATATGTTTTTTTATGGCATGAGGAGTCAAAGGAGCAGATAGGTCACCTAATGGTAAGTGACTACCGTCACCCATGGACACCTGCAACTCAAGCCTCAGCGTTACGTAGCGTTTGCGTTCTCCCCCCCCGAGAGAAACAAGGAGAGACAGAGTTTGACCTGACTCTCTCGGTTAAAAGCAACGAAAAAACTACTTTTCACCGGTTTTCTGTAAGGCCGTGGTATCACCCTGGTCGAGTCGGTGCATACATTCCGAAGCATGGCTCTCCAACGAACTAATTATTAATATATAATAATACTAATGATATGTAACATAACGTTATGCCGATACTATACAATTCCAAACTTAACTGTTATTTAAAAAAGGAATATTAACATTGAACTATGTATAAACGAGTATTTAACTATGAGGTCTATATCTAACACTCACTGTTAGTCATGTCATGACATTTATCTGTTTCGTTTTTTCTCGTTCAAAAAATTGTATCCTAGAAGCGCGATTCTGAGTTTTCAAAGAAGAAGAAAACTTAAGATATAAATACGATAGGGAAAATTTTGTTACAAACTTGCTTATTTTGAGTTTAAATGAAATTAGTTTGTAAAGTCTGTCAATCATTAACTTCTACTTCTAAAACTTAGCTTAACGTTAATTCTTACACATAATTTTATTACATTTAGGTATATAACATAAGTATTTCCGACAAAGCGCCGCTAAAGCCAACCAGGTTGAAAATACTCGGACGTAAATATCGACCGCAGTCTCTGTAAATATTCTCCTGACAAGGCTACGTTAATAGTGACCGGTCGTAGTGCCGTACCATCCTCATGAAATATTACGCTTTTACTAACTTTTCACTTAGGCAACAAAATGTTTCCTACCGTCCTTCAATTAAACCAACATGTTCATGAATCTAGTGGTTTTCGTATCCTAGCTAGCAGCTTTACGTTGTGACAGCTGTCTAGTCACCTGTGTCGTATCGTGGTTTACACTTTAGCCTTACAGCCGTTGTTTACACTAGAGTTCCCTGTCGTACTAGGCGTGCGATACAGACATGGCACCTCTTTCGCTCTCCATCGTCGCAAACCACACAATGCACACGCAAAGACAGTGACAGACAGCTGCATTACACAGATTTAATTTTGTTTACAATATTATAGACTTAAATTGTAGTCGTTTAAAAAAAAACTATAAATACCTTGAAATAAATTGATTTAGTAATTATACAACTCATCTAAAAACAAACTGTTTGTCGTTAATCATTAATACTGTTAAACTTCTTAACGATTATAAACTTTTGTAAGGAAACAATTAACGACAAAATAAACTTCTGGGTTTTTTAATATATTTTGTGAAAAATAACTAAAGTAATAATAATATTTCAGAAATCTGACACACTACGCCATCTAGTTTCAAACTAAGTAGAGCTTCTACCATTAAAACTAGATTGAATGATAGAATACTTTTATTTTTATTTTTTACATACATAGAAAACACCCAAACTCCGAAACAAGTATTTGCAGATCATACGAACATTTGGTCCGACCCGGGAATTGAACCCGAGACCTCAGAACAATAGTCGCATACGCTACCACTGCACCAGGCAGTTGTGCACTATATAAATTAAAATAACTAAACAACGTATGTTTAAAAATAAAACCTTACATTTTTGAGTGTACCTGTATTCATTCGACGTGCTAGACTAGTCTGAAAGCAGTTAAGTACTTTAGAAAAACGTACGATATATCTCGGTTCTATTTTGAGATATGCCTAAAATAAAACATGAAATATTTCAACACTTCCGCTCTGCGAGTTCGCTATTTTGCTTTCATGGTACTGCTAAGTTTAGCTCCTACGTACGGATAATGAAAAGTCTAGACGCATTGTTAGTGAACAGGAGATTGTATAGGCTGTGTATAGCGGTATCTATTGATACATGGCTAACTGGCTTTGTCTAGTCGAGTGAACGCCAGTAGGGGAAATTCTGTAAACAATGGCACGTGGTTAACACAATCACACAAACTTATGTGTCTATACGAATTGTGTCAATGCTTATGATTTCAGCTGGAAATGCATAATGTCATAGACATAATTCATGAGGGGAACGTGGAATAATAAGGCTTTACGGGCAAAGGAAATTTATTTACATACGGGTATTAGTAAGCTTTATTTATTTACATAGGGCCTTATGGAAACTATATTGTTTGTGTAAATATGTAGCTTGTAAAGAAGTGTAGGATAATTTTGTACTTACGCTAGAACTTTTTACGTTATTTTTTTACGTTTCGTACTTTTAAGATTAATTATTCCATAGAGATTAAAGTAAAAACAATTTAAGACGTCGAAATTTATATACGAGTAGACAATCCAATTTAATGGCAAAATAAATTCATTGCATGAGAGAAGTAAGTAATTTAAGTAAGAAAATTTAGAGAGTTTATTACATTCATTTTATTTTAAATTGATCTGAAAATGCTGAAAACTTGTTCACTACGCTAATAAAACTCGGCTGCAGAAAAGACAATAACTGTCGGTAACAACAGGGATTGGATTTAGGGAGATTGATGATAAGGATATAGGTGGGCTTAACGCGTTAACAAATACCAAACTGAGTTAAGCGATAAGACAAAGGGAGCGACAATGCTCATGGTTATGAATAACGTGGTGTTACAAAGATCCAAAGGTCTGGTTAAAAATCCCACGGTTGGCCTTGAGGATTAGCGCTATAGGCTAAAAAAGATGACCACAGTTCAACACTGAGCAAAACGCCTTACGGTCTGGAAATACCAACGATGAGGGCAATGGTAGAAAGAAGCAGTTCTTTAGTTTTATCCGATTTTATTTTAAAGGTATTTTAGCGGTGTCATTAGTCCTTCAAGACGTAAATAAAACTAACCTATAACAGAAAAATCTAAGCAATGTATCCTTGTTTTTTTTTGTTTTGTTTTTATGAAACTTAATTTCACAAAAACAAACAAAAAAACAAGCACTCTTTTCTTATTTTTGGCATTTTTTGAGTGGCAATTATACTTCCGATAGCAGAGATGATTTTAGAAATTATAGCATAACTTTCTTCATTAGAGATCATCGTTTAGCGTATACAAGACAAAGGACAAGAAAAAGAAAAAGTAGATCCTGTACCCGAGGGACATCCGAATTGATTGGCTTCGCTTAAATAACTGAATTAACATGAGCGAAGCCACGGGTCCAAGCTAATTTGAAATAAATAACAAATCTGTGAACCAGTTTGTAGCTAATTAGATTAATGATGCTGATCCCTAGGTTTACCTGATTGCCCACACCACACGAACATCAATTTATTGTGATTATGATTATATAAATATAGGTACAGATACTACGTTAGATAAAATTCTTACTTGAATTAATGATCAAGTATAATTTGGATGTCTTGTAATGTTTAATAATAGTTGAAATCAAAATCGTGAAACAAACTTTTTGTTTTATTTATCTAGATAGGCAACACATAACATTTAATAAGCATTTGAACTTTATATTTATGTTAACTAATTAGATAGATGTGCACAATAAGGTTGGCATTGTAACTGATATTCTCTAAATTATCAGGATATTGTTGATAGTTATGACCACGTTAAGACTGTTAAGCTACGGATTATTGAAAATGTATTCGTATGTACTTATTGCTGAAAACTTATTTATCCTGTTTCGTCTATTTCCAACGTTAATTGTGCGAAACAGTTCAGTGTGTTCATGGCATTTCTTTAATAACTCTTAGTTGTAGCAATCTATGTCGTTAATCTAATCTTAGATGTAAAGGAAAGTAAATTTTGGTTTGTCATCAATTCGGTCTCGCCACATTGCTCGCCGCGTTTGCAAGCGAATATGTTTATGTACTAAATTGAGTTTCGTGAAATTGATATTTCGTATTCAATTTGAATTTCCATCTTGTGTATATGATGCTATACTTCAAGGTTGGATTCGTAGATTGAATTTGACTGCAAAATACGTTTACTCGCAAGATCTGCTGGCTTTAATTAAGAGTATGTTCTTCTTAACATGATGTTGTCGTAAATAATCTCACTGGTAGATGATAAATTATAGTATTTTCAATACGATGTACTTTCATGAGATATATTTGAAAAAAAAATTACAAAGAATTTGCTTCATGTACTAATAAAAGATATATTATTAATTTAATTATGATTTTTTTATAAAAAAGATTAAGTTTCGTGCTTCCAAACATTTTTTGTGTTAAGAATATAGACAGATCGTCCTAAAACGTCTAAGTATTGAAATGGGATAAGCTTTTATCCATATATATTCTTGTATTTTTATCTGTAAACTGCAATCTGTAAAATATATTAGATTATTTTATGGTATAGGATCAAAACCTCCTTTCTAGGGAGAGGCATAGTCCTCTCCTTAGAAAGGAGGTTTTGACCCCTATACCTACCCCTTTGGACCTACCAGCAGT